CAGCGCAGGAGCGGGAAGCGGCGGCAGGGACGCCCCCGGAGCGGGAGGCCGTCTCGCGGCCGCTGTTTGGGTCACGTGGGCGGGCGGGCTGCCGGAAGGGCGGACGGCGGCCGCGGAGGGGCGGAATTCTCCGGCCGAGCTTCGCCTTAAAGGGACAGCGGCGGTGGCTGGGGAATTCTGGGAGTTGAAGTCCGCCTAGCCCACAGATGCCAAGGTTGAGAAACACTGCCCTAGGCTGGGTTTGCACGCCCCACCAAACTATGGTTGGCTGAATGTCAGTTTATTGAATACACCTAGATTGTATCTGCATGACCCACCAAACTATGGTTGGCTGAATGTCAGTTTATGGAATACACCTAGACTATATTCACATGACCCACCAAACCATGGTTGGCTGAACGGTGGTTTATTAAATACACCTAGACTGTATTTGCATCACAGACTAAACCCTGATTGGCTTCATCGCAGTCGACTCACTCCAACCAAGGCTGTTGGCCTGTGGGTGGCAACCGCCCCGGCATGCCCGAGGCCTGAGCCGAGCGTTAAAGAGTCCCCGTCTCCTGGGCTGGGGCTGGCTCGGGTAGAGCAAGCCTGACTCACCCGGAGAGACAATTCGGGTCTTTGCTTGCGAAACGGTGAATTCCAGGCCTGCAAAGACGCCCCGTCGAGCTGCTCCGGGCTTTCTCTGCTCCTTGGCAGCCTGGCCCTTTGCCCACGGCCTCCCTGGCCTGGCATGACCCCGGGCCGCCTTTGAGCAAGGACGGGCATTGTCCCCCGATGGGCGGCTCTGCTCACTCCCTCCCTTGCCCCCGTGGCAGGGCAGGGGCGACTCCGTGCATACTTATGAGCCCGGCTGCTCTCTGCAGCTGGTGGAAGCTGGGCACGGCTCCAAGGCAGAGAGGGGGAAAGAAAGAGAATGGCCTGTTGACAAGACCCCGGGAAGCCCAGGGGCTGCGTGCGAGGCCTCACGGTCCGTGCCAAACGCTCTCCCAGTGCCAGCCAAATCCTCCTGGGGATTAAAAGCAGGGGAGACACGCAGCACCGAGGAGGCCCGCAGGCCGTGGATGAGAAGGGGGCAGGAAAGAGCGGCCCCGGACCCAGGAGGACTGCAATGGGTGGCCACCGAGGCTGAGACTCCGGTGCCGCTTAAGACAGCAACTCGCTGGCCGACGAGGCTGCAGATGGCAGCCCCTCCGAGAAAGAAATCCGGGATCACGCTCAGCGTCCTGCCTTTGTGGCTGATGGGCGCCCCAGACTGGCCCGCCGGTCAGCTCTACCTCTCGGTCAGCCTCTTCCTGGCAGAGATGGTGGCCGGCCGAGTGACGGCCTCTCTGCTCCTGCAGGTTTGCGCCTTCCACACCCTGGAAGGCACGCTGGCCCTGGCGGTGAGCTTGCTGGATGCCCGGCTCCCCGCTGGCAGCCACCCCACCTGGAAGAACACCTTTGGATGGGCGCGAGCCCCGATCGTGGGCACCCTGGTGAGCGCCGTGTTCCTGAGCGCGCTGTGCGTGGCTCTGCTGGCCGAGGCCCTTCGCAGGATCGCAGAACCGAGGCTCCCGGAGCACCCGCTGGCGCTGATGGGAATCGGGGCCCTGGCTATCCCCATCCACCTGGCTAGAGAAGGTTTGCCCCGGAAACACCCCCCAAAGCTGGACATAGGGCCCTGCTGTAACAAAAGAAGCCTCCCGCAAGGGAGAAAGCAGGAAAAGGAAGGTAAGTTCCCACGGGGGTGCACAGGGGCGCAGGAGAGATGGAAAAGCCGAGCCGTATCTTAATTCGAGAAATCCTGAAATGGGATCCCCGTAAGAAAAATCCTGGGAAGGCCCCAAAAGTTTAATTTTCCTTTCTTGGGGGTGGAAGAGGCAAGCCTTTTTTCTCATCCGAAAAGTTGCTGGCCTCTTCAGCCACATGGGAGCATTCGTGGCCGCCAAAAATCGGGAGGAGTCCAGGAGCATCTTTCCAGACTCACACATTTTACCCGAGGGCATTTGCTTTCGAGGCGGAAGCTGAATCTTCAAAAGCTTCGGCCTTTTCAGAAGCTGCCAGACTCCCCCTGATTTTTAAAGAAGTGCTATGAAATCCGTCATCCTTTCAGACCAGGATAACCAGCATCTGAAATGAAGATGATCTGCCCGTTTACACTTTGATAATGAAAATGAAAGCTCCGAGTTCCTCTCTAAATAAAAAATACTCTCCACGAGCCAGAGAGGTCGTCATGGCCTCCCGTATCTTGCTTGTGGGAACAAGTAGAAGCCACTTTGAGACACAGGATGTTAGACTGGGGATTTAAATCCAGGTTTTTATCAACATTGCACTGTATGAAATGATCCCAGCCTGGCCTTGGACTTTCTCTTCCTCCACAGATCTTCTGGGCAACGGATCCTCGAGCCACAAACCACCGTGGCTGGAAGAACGTAGGGAAGGACCGTGGCAGACTCTTTATCTTAGATGGATGGTGGCTTGTTTTGGACCTGTGGCAGTTTTCCTGTATTCTCTCACTGTCCACCTGTTGTGGACTCCGTGCCTGGGGCAGGCAGTGTGTCTTGATCACTGCTTCAGGAACCCGTGCCGGCCCTGGGAAACGCCCGATGTTCTGCCACAACTGTCAGTCGCTTGTTGGCCACTGTACGTGGACCCCGGGCTCGCTGTGGTGGCCGCGGTGGCCCTCCTGTGCTTGGTCTGGCCCACGCTGAGGGCTTCCGCCCTCGTGCTCCTGCAAGCCGCGCCAGAGGGGCTGGATCTGTGGCTTCTGGAGCAACGCCTGCGTGCCACGGAGGGGGTGGCCACCGTGCGGGAGCTCCACGTCTGGCAGCTGGATGGCCACCGCAGTTCGGTGGCCACGGCCCACGTGGACTGCCTGGACGTGGCCGTTTACGAGCCGGTCGTCCGGAGAGTCAAGCGAGTGTTCTGTGAACACGGCATCCACGTGGTCACGGTGGAGCCACACCCGGGGAGGCGCCCAAACGAGGGACACCGGCAAGGACCCCGTGAGAGGCAGCTGGGGCCAGCTCCCACCGAGTTGCTGGAGTTCGAGACCAGTGTGTGAATTCGGCGGGCGGAAGCCTTTGGAAGAGAATCGGGGAGGGGAAACGTCTCCCCTCTCCTCCCACCGAATACGAATTCTTCTCTTCCCCTTGTACCCCTGTCAGTGATAGAGGTGGGATGCCAGACCCCTTGGTGAGGACCACCGGCTGTAAATCTCAGCGCTCCAGTACTGTCCTGGAGGTCTATCTCCTCCACGCCCTGCGCGCCATCAAGCCTTGTTTTAACTGTGTTTCGTTCAGTAAGCCAGAATGACCGGGTTCACCATGACATTCCAGGATAATCCACAATGATCTTTGGCCGCAGCCATGGAGGTCTGAGCAAAGGGGGAGCCTTTCTTCTTCGCTCTTTTTGGGGAGGGGGTCGCGGGATGCTAAAACGAGAGTGACCGTAGGTCCCCTTCCCTGCCTGCTCCCTAAAAGTAATAACATTAAAAGCCATCGAAGAAATTAAATCGAAAGGGTTTTCCGTGGTTGTTTTTTTTAATCATGGGTCGTCAGCAGTGAGGATGGGAATTTAGGGGACAGAGAGATATCAGGAATCACCCAGGCATCTTCCTCCTTTCGGATGACCCCATCATGATCTGCCCTCCAACGAGATCTTCATGTCCTGGAGGAATAATTCATTCATTTATTTTATTTATTTATTAAATTTCTCCCCTGCTCATCTCCCCCCAATGGGGGAACTCTGGGCAACTCACCCAGAACATTAAAACCATCAATATATATAAATATGTAAAACAATTTAAAAATTAATACATACATTAGCTCCCATTACTGGCCATCGTTTGTTACATTACAAAGTTGTGGAATATCATCAATGATCTTGGAAGATACTTGCAATTTATTTAGGATTAATTGTTATATTGCATTTTTAATTCAGATTTATCTGTCCTGCAAACCGCCCAGAGTCGTTTTCTAACGAGATGGGCGGTGACAAATTTGATATATAAATAAATAAAATAAATAAAGCATTCCAAAGTGCAGCCTTATGGGTGCAGCTATGCACGCACACACAAACACACACAGCCAAAACCTGAGAGCTAATTGTAGCTTTTAACATAACTAGGCTCCTTCCAGATGTGTGGACTTCAACTCCCAGAATCCTCAGCAAGAGGCCAACATATTGGCTGAAGGATCCTGGGAACTGAAGTCCACACCTCTGGAAAGCTCCCTGGTTGTAGCCAGCTGGGGATAGCCTTAAAACCATGGGAAATAATTTGATCTGCTGTCCATCCAAACCCTTCTTATTTAATCTGAAAAGCGGCACACTCCAGTTTGAGAAGAACGGCTGTGTAAATAAGAAAGCCAGGACATTGCTGGGCATCTCCTGACTCAAGGAAGGGTTTGCACATCTGTGCAACAGCTTTCCTACGTTCACGGATTGCTTAAGGTTGTGGGTTTTTCGAAAGAGATGAGAAGAGAAGAGGATGAACCAAGGCAAAAGACAATCAGCTTCTCTTGAGGCGGGGGTGACTTCCTACATCTCACTTGACTCGATTACTCGAGCCACCTAAAGTCTGGGATCGCACCACACCCTGGCCACAAGGAAAGAACTAACAAAGCCTGATGATGATGATGATGATGATGATGATGATGATGATGATGATAATAATAAATATAATATTGATTAATATTGATTAATAATGCCACCTCTGAGTCCCGTGAACTCGCTCCTCTGCGTCAGGAAGAAAACCCCAGCTCTTCCCCCCACTTTTCCTTGCCCTCGTGTGGAGTCCAGAGATCCTGCCCGCCCTTCGCCTGAAATCGCAACCCAGGACTCTCGGCCTCCTAGATTTGGGACTCCTAGCCCCATCACCCTCATCCCAGTGAGGGATGAGGAGAGCGACGAACCAGGAGGATCTCCTGCTCCAGAGATGCAGGAAGAAAGAAAGAAAGAAAGAAAGAAAGAAAGAAAGAAAGAAAGAAAGAAAGAAAG